TTATAAAGTTATAAAGTTATAAAGTTATAAAGTTATAAAGTTATTAAGTTATAAAGTTATAAAGTTATAAAGTTATAAGTATAAGTTATAAAGTTATAAAGTTATAAAGTTATAATTTATAAGTTATAAAGTTATAAAGTTATAAAGTTATAAAGTTATAAAGTTATAAAGTTATAAAGTTATAAGTTATAAAGTTATAAAGTTATAAAGTTATAAAGTTATAAAGTATTTAAAGTTATAAAGTTATAAAGTTATAAAGTTATAAAGTTATAAAGTTATTAAAGTTATAAAGTTATAAAGTTATAAAGTTATAAGTTATAAAGTTATAAAGTTATAAAGTTATAAAGTTATAAAGTTATAAAGTTATAAAGTTATAAAGTTGTATAAAGTTATAAAGTTATAAAGTTATAAAGTTATAAAGTTATAAAGTTATAAAGTTATAAAGTTATAAAGTTATAAAGTTATAAAGTTATAAAGTTATAAAGTTATAAAGGTGTATCAAGTTCTATAAGTATAAAGTTATAAGTAGTTATAAAGCTTATTAAGTTATAAAGTTATAAAGTTATAAAGTTTAAGTTATAACGTTCTAAAGTTATAGTGAACTAAACGAACTAGAACTGAAACTAGAACTGAAACTAGAAATGAACTAGAAACTGAACTAGAACTGAACTAGAACTGACTAGAACTAGAACTGAACTAGAACTGAACTAGAACTGAACTAGAACTGAACTAGAACTGAACTAGAACTGAACTAGAACTGAACTAGAACTAGAACTGAACTAGAACTAGAACTGAACTAGAACTGAACTAGAACTGAACTAGAACTGAACTAGAACTGAACTAGAACTGAACTAGAACTGAACTAGAACTGAACTAGAACTGAACTAGAACTGAACTAGAACTGAACTAGAACTGAACTAGAACTGAACTAGAACTGAACTAGAACTGAACTAGAACTGAACTAGAACTGAACTAGAACTGAACTAGAACTGAACTAGAACTGAACTAGAACTGAACTAGAACTGAACTAGAACTGAACTAGAACTGAACTAGAACTAACTAGAACTGAACTAGAACTGAACTAGAACTGAACTAGAACTGAACTAGAACTGAACTAGAACTGAACTAGAACTAGAACTGAAGTAGAACTGAGCTGCGAATGAACTAGAGCTGAGCTACAGCTGAACTAGCGTATAAACTTGTTATTTCTTCAGTTATGCTATAATTTGGCTCTTCCCTGTGGTTATTTGTGTATTTAAGTTGTTTTTTCCATATGTCATGTTTCTGTTCGTGTAAAACCTGTGAAAAAAATATGTAATATTTTTATTTTTAAATATAATATTAAGTAATTTTTATGCATAAAACTTTTCAGGAACTGCCTGTTTATATGTATTTTGGATTGTCATTGCTGATGATGGGGTGATGACGTTTAAAATGTTGTTGCCACTCAAGGCTTGTTGAAATTATAAATACTACGCCTTTTGTTTAACAAAATTGTTTTTGTTTGTTTATTTTCTGGTTATTTTTGGGTGTGTATTTTATTATACACAAATACACATACATACATACATTATTTATATCCATGAACGATTTGAAATGCTTAATTATTACCCGTAATTAAATTTGCACTCGAGCTGAAAATTATGTCTCAAAATGTCAGAAAGAGTAAAAGGAAAATGTTAAACATTTCCTTTCATTAAATGAAAAGTTTGTGTTGTGTTACCGTGGAAAAACATTTAATAAATTTAATAAAAACAATAATAACGATGACTGACAACTTACCCATTGTTATTTCACTGATATCGGGAATTTCACATTTGGTGCCTTTATAACCAACCGGACAGTGGCAAGTGATGGCAGCATCTCCAATGTGTCTGCATTAAGGCGAAAAGAGAATAAAAGAATTACAATTAATTGATTGTTTGTTAATTTTTGTTTTAATAATTAAAATAGTTGACATAATATGTATGCGTGATAGTGTGTGAGTGTGTGTGAATGAGTAGTGGTTAACATTTCAACTGAGTGCTGTGACCCAGATATGGAACAAGACATTAAAAATTAAAAGCTTTCCCTAAGAGCTGGCTATTTATAATAGTTTTAATTAATAAAAATGAAAATGAAGCCTATAATTGTAGTCAAAATTATTACAAAAGTTTAAATTTTTTTTAATTAAAAACCCTTTGATGTCCACTCTGACGTATGATTAATTTCGCATTATTCCATAATAATTATACGTATGATAGCAAAACTTGATTTCGTTTCGAAAATTCAGGATAAAAATATAACAATTTATAAAAATGTTTAAAAGTACTTTTTACATAAACTTTTAACAAAATATAATTTAATGAAAACTTAATTGTTGTTTTAAAGTTTATTGGTTTTTCTAAGAAATTTCCAATTCACTGCATAAAGTAATTAATTTCCCTAAAACTATAATTTTTCGAACAAACTCTTTTTTTTATTACAAATTAACAAACTTTTAAGACTTTTACATCCATATTTAACATAAATTTCTCTAAAACTATTTTAACTTAAAAAGAAAAACCTCTCAACTGTCAATTTCTACAAACTTATCAAATATCTTAGCCTCTTACCAACAACAAGCCTCTTCTTAGGTAAACTGCTATTTATAGGCTCATTTTAATAAACCCGTATCACTTGTTAAACAGAGAAAAAAATATCGAAAACACACACGTTTCGAGACTCTTAAACACATCGATATTTATCTTGTTTTTAAGATTTTCCAAATATAATTTTATAAGGGTATCAATGGTTATGACAAGAATATTTTCTTAACTCTCCCCTCTACCATCATTTGGTTAGCAAACTAAATAAAACCTTTAGTAAATTGCAAAAATTCCCAAAGGTATATTTGCTAAACTCACATACTTTAAGTAAAACAACTCATAATTTGTGAGGTAAGCAGGAATAGAAAGTTTTATTAGAGTAAGCAGAAATATTACAAACGTGTGCAACTATGTTGGTAGCAAATAGTGGGAAAAGTTTGGGATGTATAACCAAAAACGTACTTTTGAAAACACTTTAGTTGTAGTTCAAATCCAGTTCAATTTAAGTTATGTACTGGTTCTGCTCTACCTCAGCTCTAGTTCAGTTCTAGTTCAGTTCTAGTTCAGTTCTAGTTCAGTTCTAGTTCAGTTCTAGTTCAGTTCTAGTTCAGTTCTAGTTCAGTTCTAGTTCAGTTCTAGTTCAGTTCTAGTTCAGTTCTAGTTCAGTTCTAGTTCAGTTCTAGTTCAGTTCTAGTTCAGTTCTAGTTCAGTTCTAGTTCAGTTCTAGTTCAGTTCTAGTTCAGTTCTAGTTCAGTTCTAGTTCAGTTCTAGTTCAGTTCTAGTTCAGTTCTAGTTCAGTTCTAGTTCAGTTCTAGTTCAGTTCTAGTTCAGTTCTAGTTCAGTTCTAGTTCAGTTCTAGTTCAGTTCTAGTTCAGTTCTAGTTCAGTTCTAGTTCAGTTCTAGTTCAGTTCTAGTTCAGTTCTAGTTCAGTTCTAGTTCAGTTCTAGTTCAGTTCTAGTTCAGTTCTAGTTCAGTTCTAGTTCAGTTCTAGTTCAGTTCTAGTTCAGTTCTAGTTCAGTTCTAGTTCAGTTCTAGTTCAGTTCTAGTTCAGCTAGTTTAGTTCACATAACAGAACTTATAACAGAACAAAACGGCGAGGAACGGGAGTAACTTTATAACTTTATAACTTTTTAAATTTATAACTTTATAACTTTATAACTTTATAACGTTATAACTTTATTAACTTTATAACTTTATAACTTTATAACTTTTATAACTTTTATAACATTATAACTTTTTAACTTTACATAAGTACTTTATTAAAAGATGGATATTGTGTGCTTTTTGAAATTTACTTTCGCAACTGTTAACTTTTGCTTTTATCATTGTCATCTTTTCTTTTTTCGTTAAGCTTATATTCTTCAATGATTTGACATTATTTTATAGGTTATATGACACTTTTATATTTTGGAATTGTCGAAAAGTGTGTGGTAGGATTTCCAGTTAAGGAGACTGAAACATTGTCCTTTTTATATGTGTTTATGCGATGTGTAAAAGCGAATAATTTCATTTATTATTCAAACAAATCAAATTATATGTATATCCTTTTGCCTTGGACCTAAGAGTATTGTTTTTCTGAGCCTTAAATTTTGCTTATGTTGGCAAAATATGTAAGTATTTTTTTTAGAAAGTAAGTAGATGTGGTAATTTTTTTTATATTGTTAAGATATCAGTTGCTGTTAGTGTTAACAGCAGGTGGATGTTGGGCATACTAAGTAACTTTTTAGTTTATTTGCTGTATGGGGGTCGTTTTTAGGCACGATTTTTTGGTTTGGTTATTTATGAAATTAAATGGCATGAAATTGTAAGCATAATTTTTGATTTAAGTAAAAAAGCGTTATATTAATTGGTATAAATTATGCAGAATGATGTTTGAAATAAAGTGAAAGTAAACAATTGTTTTTCACTTACTTGCAAGTGCCGCCATTTTGACAAATATTCGTATGCGGATCTTCACATAGAGGACCACGACCACAATCCATGCCACTGAAGCCAGGAAAACAGGAACAATAATACGAGCTGTAATGAAAATTTAAATAAAAATAAACAATTTTAATTAAAAATTCACAAACCACAAATGTTAGAAATAAATAAACAAACAAAATTCTAATTTAAACCTCTAATTAGCTCAATAAAGAAAATCTCCTCCCGGAAAAACTTTTCAAACTTTTGCTGTTCAAACAAACATTTTCTTTGTAATTTCCATGGTTTTTACAACAATTTATCATAATTTACTTTTAACACCTGACAAAACACCTTAAGACAAAAATAATTTAAAGATATTTCTTTCACACGTTTCATTGTCACCAAAGTTGTTGCTTTTAAAGAAAAGTCAAAGGAATTAATTTGTCTGTCTTTCCGTCCGTCCGTCTGTCTGTCTTGTATTTCCTTGTGGGTATGTATATAGGAATGGTGTTATGTTTATCGAACTAATAAGTTTTTCTTTTGGCTTAAACTTTAAACGCTATGGTAAATACCATAAAATGTTATTAAGGGAATAGAAAAAGTGTAAAACTTATTAATTGCTTTAAACTTTTTTCTTCAAAAAATCTCTAAAATTTTTGTTTTTGTCAATTTAAGCCCCAAAAAAACTATACTTTTAATCAGACTTTTTGAAAGGAAACTAGTGCCAAGTATGGCCATTACTGTCAACCACATTACTTTTCCTGTCCTTGTGGCCTGTGTCATTTCTTTCTTTTACTTTTGAAATCAAATAAAGTAAATATTTCATAAATAATTTTCATAAAACATGTTTTAAATTCTATTCTATATAAATTACTGTTTAAAAAAGATCTAATAAAAGTTAAGAAAATCTTAAAAAAAAAGTTTTATTAACTGTCAGCAAAGTTGATGAGAGTTCAAATGAAATGTTTAAAATTAATGGGGTAATAATAGGACTAAACTTACTCTAGATGTTCTCGACTCTCTAGAGATAGACTAAACTTTCACAAACGATTCTAAACATTTACTAAGAAGACTATGCTCTCACTAAGGAATCAAGGCTCACACTAAACATATTACATCTCTTAATAGAGTAGGCTCTCTTTTTAATAAGCTTGATCTAGAGACAGAAAGGCTAGGCTCTCTCAAGATAACTTAGACTTTCTCTATTGAGACTGTAGCCTATATAGGGAAACTATTTTATCTCTACAATGACTGCTAAGACATAGGCTCTCTTTTTAATAAGCTTGATCTAGAGACAGAAAGACTGGGCTCTCTCAAGATAAGTTAGACTTTCCCTATTGAGACTATAGCCTATCTAGGGAAACTATTTTATCTCTACAATGACTGTTAAGACATACTTCCTCTAGATACTCCAGCAGACAAAGTTAACTCTCTCTCAGTCTCTCTCACCCTCTCTCTCTTTATAGAGTAACTCTTTAGAATCTCTTTCTAAATAAGCCTAGAGATCATTCTAGGGATACCAGTCATTCTCTCTAGAGATACCACTCTGTTTGTTGCATTACTAGAATCCCTTTAGAGAATCCACTCTCTCTCTCTATCTTCATAATAGATTTAATTATCTCTAGATATGTTACGCCTTCTTCAGATATATTAGACTTTCTCTAGATACATAATTCTATCAAAATGCTTTCTTTGGACACACTTGGTTATCTCTAGATCTTTCTAGATACACTGAGCCCTCTTCTTTTACAGGCTAGAATCAATCTAGAGACAGCAACTTCCTCCACATATACCAGAATCTCTTTAGAGATATCGGACTCTATCTAGAGATACTGAGGTCGTAAAGAGTAGAATCTCTCTATAGATATCGGACTCTATTTAGTGAGATCGTAGACTGTAAAAACTATCTACAGATGCTAGACTATTTAACATACTAGACTCTCTCTTGAATGATACTCTCTTTAAAGAAGTCACTCTCTATCTTGGATGATTAAATAGACAAAATTCCTGGTAGAGATATGAGATACTCTCTCGCTTGAAAGATATTAGATCCGGTTTATAGGGACTAAACTCCATGTTGAGAAGCTGAACTTTCCGTAGAGTTAATAGACTCTCTTTGGAGATTTTATCTCGAGACTCTAGGTACCTAGGACACTAGACAGTAAGGCATCTGGACTCCCTGCACATATACTAGAGAGTCTACACGAGGTCTAGAGAAACTAGATTCTCTTAAGAGACTTTAATCTCTAACTTTTTTTTAAAGAGATCAGACAAGTTTAGATTATCTGTCCTCAGACTAGACTTTTTCAGCCCGAATGGAAACACCCTAATCAGTCTAGAGTCCGTCTAAACTTACTAGAGTCTTTGAAGACTCAATAAAAAGAAGTTTAGAGAACTAAATTCCTTGTAGATATATGAGACTCTCTCTCTTTAAAGAGACTTGATGCGGTTTAGTGTTACAATATTCTTTCAGAGATAAAAATCAACCTCTACTAAACTCCATGTAGAGAAGCTGGACTCCCTGTAGAGATACTATACTCTATCTAGAGACCCTCTATAGAGAATCTGATCTCCCTGCATATATACTAGAGAGTCTTAACTAGGACTATACATATATACTAGATTCTCTTTAGAGACTCTAGATTCTAAAGTTTTTTAGAGAGACCAGAGAAGTCTAGACTATCTCCAGACTAAACTTTTTCACACCGAATATAAACTTTCTAATCAGACTAGAGTCTCTTTAGACATACTAGAGCTTTTTAGGTGCGAACTTAGAAAGTCTACTTTATTAGTCCCTATTTAGAAATTTGACCTCAAATGCCAAAAACTTCATACAAAAAGGCTTTTATCTACCATTATTTATTTGCCAAACCTTTATGCCCCAAAAAATGATTCCAAATTCTATTTAAACTTAAAAAGTACTTGAAATTGTATAACTTTTTGCATGATTTGTAAAAAGAAATTAATTTTTGACAAAAAGCCAAAGAGGCTTTTGACCGAATGACAGCGACAGTAATGCCAGTTTTAAATGATGAATAAAGAAGGTTATAAAAAATGTAGACATTACTTTAAAAAGATAAACTTCTTACTTTAGATAATTCAAAAAATTTGACATAGAAGGATAGAAATATAAAGAAAAATACGATAAAATGTAAATATTGGCAAAAGGACTTAAAATTATTGAAAATATGTTCTAAAGTATTATAAAATCATAAGGAAAATAGAACTATGAGCTAAAATAAAAATATTAAAAAAAATATTAAGATAGCAAAAAAAGACGTATGAGTTTTAAAAATTTCCCTTGAATTAATAACACTCATACGCTTCGATAAATCTATTGCAATATTAATCTTTCTTTGCTGATACTACTTTTTGTCTGCCTTTTAGGTACATTTGTTTTTTATAAAATATTTAAAAAATAATTACGCAAAAAATGTCCCTGAAGCTTTTGCCTGTAGTTTTCGTTATGCTCGCAGTAATTTGCTCCTCTTTTAGTTACTGTCATTCTATTGCCAAATATGACAACCGCAACACGCACAGCAATTAATTTGTTTTTCTCTTTATTTTATGAATATTTTACTTTTTTATTGTTTTAACTATTAAATAAGAAACAAAAGATTTTTTAACAGAAAATGTAACAACAAAATGCAGCACCTCCAGCACCTGCAGTCTCTGAAAACTTCCACATCACCAATGCATTAACCATCATTTCCACACAGATCTAGCAGAGCTTAAACCAGAAGACGACCTTTTAAAAATGATACCCTAGAAGAGCTTGATATGTACACTAGTCACAGTCTAGTCTAGAGCACAGTATGTAGTCTAGCCAAAGTCTATAGTCTAGTCTATAGTTTAGTCTATAGTCTAGTCTAGTCTAGTCTATAGTCTAGTCTAGTGTATAGTCTAGTCTATAGTCTAGTCTAGTCTATAGTCTAGTCTATAGTCTAGTCTAGTCTATAGTCTAGTCTAGTCTATAGTCTAGTCTATAGTCTAGTCTATAGTCTAGTCTATAGTCTAGTCTATAGTCTAGTCTATAGTCTAGTCTATAGTCTAGTCTATAGTCTAGTCTATAGTCTAGTCTATAGTCTAGTCTATAGTCTAGTCTATAGTCTAGTCTATAGTCTAGTCTATAGTCTAGTCTATAGTCTAGTCTATAGTCTAGTCTATAGTCTAGTCTATAGTCTAGTCTATAGTCTAGTCTATAGTCTAGTCTATAGTCTAGTCTATAGTCTAGTCTATAGTCTAGTCTATAGTCTAGTCTATAGTCTAGTCTATAGTCTAGTCTATAGTCTAGTCTATAGTCTAGTCTATAGTCTAGTCTATAGTCTAGTCTATAGTCTAGTCTATAGTCTAGTCTATAGTCTAGTCTATAGTCTAGTCTATAGTAGTCTAGTTAGTCTATAGTCTAGTCTATAGTCTAGTCTATAGTCTAGTCTATAGTCTAGTCTATAGTCTAGTCTATAGTCTAGTCTATAGTCTAGTCTATAGTCTAGTCTATAGTCTAGTCTATAGTCTAGTCTATAGTCTAGTCTATAGTCTAGTCTATAGTCTAGTCTATAGTCTAGTCTATAGTCTAGTCTATAGTCTAGTCTATAGTCTAGTCTATAGTCTAGTCTATAGTCTAGTCTATAGTCTAGTCTATAGTCTAGTCTATAGTCTAGTCTATAGTCTAGTCTATAGTCTAGTCTATAGTCTAGTCTATAGTCTAGTCTATAGTCTAGTCTATAGTCTAGTCTATAGTCTAGTCTATAGTCTAGTCTATAGTCTATAGTCTAGTCTATAGTCTAGTCTATAGTCTAGTCTATAGTCTAGTCTATAGTCTAGTCTATAGTCTAGTCTATAGGCTAGTCTATAGTCTAGTCTATAGTCTAGTCTATAGTCTAGTCTATAATCTAGTCTATAGTCTAGTCTATAGTCTAGTCTATAGTCTAGTCTATAGTCTAGTCTATAGTCTAGTCTATAGTCTAGTCTATAGTCTAGTCTATAGTCTAGTCTATAGTCTAGTCTATAGTCTAGTCTATAGTCTAGTCTATAGTCTAGTCTATAGTCTAGTCTATAGTCTAGTCTATAGTCTAGTCTATAGTCTAGTCTATAGTCTAGTCTATAGTCTAGTC